CCCCCTTAATTCAGACACTCTCTGTATTTCTGCGGCGCTTTACAAGAAGCAGAAGACTTAGCACGACATTTTTTGGCAAAGGGCTGTTTGGCGTAATTACTGCTTTGGGCAAAAGCTTCTGGGAGAGCTCAAGAGCAGCCCTGGTTTTGTCAGGCTCCTAATTGCAGGCCTCAAGTTTCTTACCCAGCGCGCGAGGAAGAGGAGGCGCAGAGCCGTCAAGCGTTAAATTCGCGTTGGATTTGGCAAAGATGTTTTCGCACCTCTCTGGGCGGGCTCTGCCGGCTTTTCTCTTCCCAAAATGAGCGGTGCAGCGTGTTGTTCAGGGAGATGCTCTGCTGCGCAGGAACACAGGCTCTGCTGTTCCCGAAACCCCGAGTTTGTTAATGCGAGATACCCTGGAATTAGCAGGACGGGTCCTTTCTCTGGCTGTGTGTTCGAGGAGGGTTGCCCGATGGGAAGCCGGTGAGGGCAGGGAAGCCTGTTAAAAATCGCCGGGGTGCGATTTAGCTTGGAATTACCCCGCTCGGACCGATGCTGCTAACGCCTGCCATGGTCCCATGTTTTTTCTCTCCGCAGGCTCCACCCGTTTCCCAGCTCTCCAGGATGAGAGAGGTTTGGGTTCGGCTTTTCCCCTCTCCCTGTAGTTGATAGTTTCGGAACCAGAGGTGATGCTGGAGTCGAGATGGCAGACAGCGTGAAAACCTTCCTTCATGACCTCGTCAGGGTAAGTCTCTGCGTTTCTGGTCCTCTGCCACAGGCATGGGTCTCGCTCGCTTCGCTGACGCTGGCTCTTCCGCAGGGAGCGCCCTCCTTCCTACGTCATCAAGGGTGGCTTGAAAAATTTGAAGGAAAAGGGGGCTCCGGGTGTATTTTAATCGAAGGCGTCTTCCGCTCGCCAACAATGGTTAGGTTTGACATGGCGGCGTGGGATGCGTTGCTCCCCAGGTGTTTTCTAGAATAATTTCCCCCCTGAAGCTGGCTGTTTTGCAGTGTGTCTGTTGCAAAGGGCTCGGCGTTCGTCCGAGCTGAACTTGTGACAAATTTCCTTTGGGCAAGAGTTAATTTACAGCCTGTATGAACATTGCAGTTGCGTCACGGCGATAAGGCTTCGTGTGAACTCGAGCGCTCCCACGCTGTCTTGTGTCATCCAGGTATAAATGCAGGCTTAAAAACGTGCGTGACGTGACAGTGAGAAATAACTTGTTTTCAGAAATAACTTGTTTTGAAAAACTTGGAAAAAACTTTGATTTTAAAGATCCGCGGCGCACCGGCCACACTCTAACACGGAAGGGAGGGCTTGTGGCGTTTCACGATGCTCTCACGCCGCCTGTAAAGCAGCGGATAGAGCAGCCCGTGTGATTAATTTCCACCTCGTTAGGGAGCAGCGGCATCGTGTTCTGCCGTTTCAGACAGGCAGTCGGCAGCAAAATTTATCCTCTTTGGTCAAAAACTCCATTTACCAAGCTGTTGTGTGGGTCACCTGGGCAGTGACGCTGCCCTGGCTCACACTAGCGTCCTTACAGTCTTTATTTTGGAGGGAAATTTTGATAATGATGGCTACGAAATATTTTTGGAGCTGGAAATCGCTGCTCGTGGAGCGTTAGGAGGTGGCGTTGGGCGTCTTTTAAACGAAGCAGGTTTGCACAGATGTGGCTGATGCAGGGATGTTTCTGGGACAAGGAGAGATGCGTTTATTTGTAAAGGAGTACGCGTTAAGCTCAGGCGTACGGTCCGGCCGCACGAGGACTTTGCACATCCTAAACATTTTGTGTAATTCTATTTTATTGGCCTTAGAAATGCTGGCAGGGGAAGAAGGGCTTTCTGCCAGACCGAAGAAATGGGCTGTGAGAGGTCTGCCTCTGTAGCTTTTGCCAGGGTTATAAAAAGCGGAGATTGGATGAGAAATCACACCTTTTTTTTTTAAAAAAAAAAAAAAAGCTCCTAAAGATGCTGGAACGTGCGGTGATTTAGGTCACCGGGCTGTGGAAAATAGCGGCGTTGCTGCTCCAAACCTTGCCTCCAGCCGAGCCTGGCACTGGTTTCCCCCACGAGCCAGGGAGTGAGGCCGGCCGCGTTTAAGTCCCTTTCCGTAACCGGGAGGTTTTCGATGGCCTGGGTCGGGCGCATCCCGTTCCTCCCCTCTCTGCGGGGTGGAGCGTGACGGCCTCTCCTCATGACGGCCTCTCCTCGTGTCCGCAGGGAATTAAGGACTCCATCTGGGGCATCTGCACCATCTCCAAGCTGGACGCCCGGATCCAGCAGAAAAGGGAAGAGCAGAGGCGGAGGAGAGCAAACAGCGCGCTCGCCCAGCGGAGGTTTCACATGGAAGAGAAGAAGCAAGAGAAGTGAGTACGGGGCCTGATGAGTTATAAATCAGGTAATTGGATAAAAATACTGAGGGCAGGGAGAGAGCGAGCGACTCTGCCCGGAGCTTTGAAGAGCCTGATGAATTGCAAAACCTCTGCAAGTCACAGTGATTTGGCAGTGCTTGTGCTTTTGTTTTTTTCTCCGAAATATCCATCGTATCGCAGTCATCTGGCTAAAAGGGAAGTTGAGGTAAGCGGGGTTTTAGGAAATAAAGCCATTATTGTCACCCGCGCTTGCAAAGATCTCTGCAAAAACGCTTGGCGGAACCATCGGAGACCTGCAAACCCGCGTGTCAGCGAAGGCAGAACTCGTGGTGTGCGGTTGCAAACGGTTCGTAAACCCGATTGCACCGAAGCACGGAGCCAAGAAATACAAAAAACGCGACGTTGAAACACCCTTTTGCCACTGTGTGTAACAAAACCAGAACTGCTAGCGTGAGATAAGAAGTCAGACCTTTTACGTTGTTTGACAATTAAGAGTTTGCAATTAGTTTGAAATAATAGTAGAAGGCATGGAGCTATGCAAGCTGAAAGAATGTGGATTTCTGGGTTTCTTTCCTTCCTGACTACTCGTGCTGTCTCTCAATATCTTTGAGATCGTGTGGTTGGTAGTCATGGGATCAGGGAAGAGGTGGCAGCTCAGATCCGATTGATACATCTGGGGCAGATCTTTTATTTTTTTCCCCCAGATCTTTTATTTTTCTTACCATGTTGCATCCACTAAAGCTGGAAATGCCAGAATTATAGCCACGTGGGAGCAAAACAGCATCTGTTCTTACGTCTGACTCCCAAACTGCACCGAGAGGTTTCTCCGCTGCCCTAATTACAGTCAGGCTGGCACTTAACGCAGTGACATTTGGGCGGTAATACGCCTTTTGAGGCATATTTACAAATTCTTCCAACTCGTTCGGTGGTCGTCTCATCTCAAGATGATGGAAAAATCTCCTGTGTCCCATGATCCCCATCCTCCCCAGACCATAGAGGTTCCTGCACGTGGGCTGGCTTCGAGGAATTGTATCTATATTTTTGGGGGGATGACTACACAGTCCTATTTTACTGGTTTTCTTTGTAACAAAGCCCCTTTGGTAGCAGAAGCTGACTGGAAAAATGCGACAGAGTCCCGCAGAGCTGCTCTCTCGCGTGTCCGTAGACACGCTGCAAGGAGAGAGGAGCCAAAACCACCCCGAGCTGAAACAGCCTCTTCTGAGAGCAAAAAGCACCCGAAAAGCCCTAATTTTATTGTGACGGGAGTTTGAGGAGAGCAAAGCCCAAGATCTCCAATAAATGCTTAAAAACCTGGAAGAAAGCTTTGCTTCCATTTCAGTGCAGATCTGGGGAATTAATAAAGGTTAAAAGCGTCTCCCTGCTGTCGATCTCCTATAGACTGTGCGTTGGCTGAAACCCGGTGCGCGCCTGTGCGGGGATTTCTTCCAGGATTCCCGTGCTCGGATAAAATCGGGTGCGTCGCCGGCATTGAGCTGGTTATCTGCGAGGTTCCTAAGGTGTCCAAAATATGGAAGGGAAGCAGTTGTCGCTTGCTAGGGGACGTTTGTCCAGGCGCGGGGACCTTAACACGTGTCTCACCCATCTCTCTCCTCCTGCTCTGCAGCGAGCCCCGGATAGTGAGCCGGATATTTCAGTGTTGCGCCTGGAACGGAGGCGTATTCTGGGTAAGTGGCTATTTTTCCTCTTTTCTACATTAAAAACCCCATGAAAGCCAGCGCCCCGCTCCAGCCCTCGTGCGGCGTCAGTGGCGAGCCGACAGCTCAGCTGCAGGAATTGATGGGAGCCTCCGAGTTCCCAGTCCCGCTGCCGCTGTTTTAAGGGACGCGATACAGGATACAGGCCGGCAGAGTCGCTTGGGAAACCCGCGTGTTAAACCCGAGCTGCTTTTCCGACTCTTTGAGACTGCTCTTTGCCCAAATATTCAACTCCCGCTCCGTTACGGTCTGGGATATTGCTTTACCAAGCTGAATATTGATATCTTAAAGACATTTCCTCAGCTCTGACCTTACCACGGCTGTTCTGTGAGGCAAATCCTTAACGCGGCAGCCACTTGGTAGCCTAATAAATCACCCGCTCCATTTTTCCATTCGACTGCGGTCGGGTACGAGGGATCGGCGTGGAAATGTTAAATGGAAAGCGCTCAATTACAGATTTTGCCTGCGTTTAAACGGAGATCCGTGGTTCTCCGTATTTACCGATAGCTGCGCGGAGGTCAGTAGTTACGGGAGCACGAGAAATGACCGCACAACGCCTCACCGAGAACCCCCGTTGTTTCTTTTTTCCCCCCTGTAGCTTAGTCTCTTCTTGTTTTACCGAGTATTTATACCTGTCCTTCAGTCGGTCACGGCACAGATCATTGGTAAGTACCTTTTTTCCCCGTTCGCGTCTTACGGGGCGCCAAGCAATCCGTGGGACGGGCGCAGGGGGGTCCCGACTTCACCCCACTGAGTCGCTCCTCGCGCCACTGTCTCCTTGCCGTGTTCTCCTCTTCCTCCCTGTACTGATCAAGGCCATCGTTAATCATTCAGTAGAAAAAGCGGAGAGATGGGTAACGCCGCTAACAGCCCGCGCGCGGCGGGGATCTGGCTGGTGGGTTTTACCGCTCGTAATGCGTGCAGTCATCGGAAAGTTTTTGCGAGGAAATAAAAAGCAAGGTGCGGAGGGGTGGTTCTTTTAAAAGAGCAAAAGTTGGGGTCAGAGATCTCATAGGTGGTCGTGACGCGAAACGAGGAGGTTCCTGCGCCGGTTCCTGACGCATTTCTCCCCGTTGGTCTTTTTCGAAGGCGACCCTTCCTTACACGGCGACGTCTGGTCGTGGCTGGAGTTCATCCTCACCTCCATTTTCAGCGCCCTGTGGGTCCTTCCCCTCTTCGTGCTCAGTAAGGTGGTCAACGCCATCTGGTTCCAGGTAGGCGGCGGGAACCCAGACCCCGCGTCGAGCAAACGAGGTGGTGAATTCCCTCGTTAAGGCGCGATCGGCGCTACGGGGAGGGCGAGTGTTTCACCGCGAGGTGAAATCCCATCCCGAAAACGGGCTCTGGGTGTATCCCAGCGGGTGAGAGCAGCTTGGTGACATCGCCCCAGCTGCTTTTGGGTTTCGTTTCCCCAAATCCCCCTTTTCTCTTTCGAATTTCATTCCCCTCAAGCCTTTTTTCTTCTTTTTTTGCAGGACATTGCAGACCTAGCATTCGAAGTTTCCGGCAGAAAGCCTCATCCCTTTCCCAGCGTCAGTAAAATCATCGCCGACATGTTGTTCAACCTCTTGTTGCAGGCGCTGTTCCTCATCCAGGTGAGATTAGAGTCAGAAGCAAAAAAAAAAACCCCCAAAAAAGGTCTGCCGGCCCAAGTCGCTCTGCGCTCCTGGGCGATGTTCTCCCGCAAATCCAGCGCACCCCTCACTCTCCCGCTCTGTTTTGTTTTTTTTTTTTTTTTTATTCCCAGGGGATGATAGTGAGCCTCTTCCCCATCGATATCGTCGGCCAGCTCATCAGCCTCCTCCACATGTCACTGCTCTACTCGCTCTACTGCTTCGAGTACCGCTGGTTTAACAAAGGTGAGGCCGTGCCCGGAAATTTTTCCGGATTGAGGGTTTCCCTACCGGAGGAGCATCCAGCTGGGGCTCCCGAGGCCGATTTTCATTCCATTTTTACACGGGATGAAGCGCGGTGAAGGTCTCTCCCCCGCGCAGGGTCATTTCTGCGTGTTTTTCTTTTTTTTTTTTTTTTTTTTTTTTCCTTGCCAGGAATCGAAATGCACCAACGGTTGTCCAACATCGAGAGAAACTGGCCCTATTACTTCGGTTTTGGCTTACCGCTGGCTTTTCTCACCGCGATGCAATCCTCTTACATCATCAGGTGAGTCTCTGGGAGGGCGGGTGGCCATTTCGGACCCCGCGCCGCGTCCCCGCGCCGCTTCCGAACCCAACCCGCCACCTTTTTTAATTTTCTTATTTTTTCTTATTTTTTCCCCTTCCAGTGGTTGCCTCTTTTCCATCCTTTTCCCTCTCTTCATCATCAGCGCCAACGAAGCAAGGACCCCCAGCAAAACTTAGTGAGTATCCCCAGGATCCACCTCCACCCTATCCAGCCCGGTAAATCCCGGGCAGCGCCGCCAAAATCCCGCGGGAAGCGAGCAGCTGACAGGCTCCCTGCCCTCCCAGCCACTTCCAGCTCCGTCTCTTCTCCTTGGTGGTTTTCCTCAGCAACAGACTCTTTCACAAGACCGTTTACCTTCAGTCCGCCCTGAGCGGTGC